TGAAATCCCAAGCTTTAGTTCCACCACAGCTATGGGTCTGGAGTTAGCTTCACGCCCTTTCCCTGCTCACTCGGCCGAAGACATTTTCAAATATTTCTTCGGCTTAGAAGATTTGTCCGACGACGAATTCCAAATCTGCTGTTGTCGGACTTACCTATCTTCCATTATTCTTCCACAATTGGCATGGGAAACGACCAAGGATACTGAACTTCAGGAATCCTAGGGGTTATTTATCATGACTCGTGACCTACCCTATGGCTGTGAAGCTCGGCGACGTAGTTAGAAGGTTTATCACCTTAATTTCCTGGCTTGCTAACTGGGTTATCTCCAAGGATGCCCTTGCCATTCCTTTCATCTCACTCTCTTTTAAGCCGAGAATGCTTTTTTGGTTCCTCGGAAAAGGAACGCGAGACAGCTGAGAAGGAGTTTGCCGAACGGCGTGCCAAATTCCACCTTCAGCTTTGTCGAGTGGTGGGAGGCTTACACCAAGGATTTCTTTCACACGTTGGCCGAAGAAATTTCAAAAAAACTTTTTGACGGTCGCCCGAAGAAAGCCCTTGCCTTAAAATCCAAAGATATGGCCCAAGGTATATACCTTTTACTTTCCTTGTTCATTTATTTTCCTTCAAGCTTTAATTTAACTCAAGTTCAATGTTTCCAAGTGGCTGTACTATGAAAAGGGCTGAGGTGGTGGTAATGGCCGCGGCTAAGAAGAAAGTTGCCCTTCCTCCAAAAACAGGTGGCAGTTGTTGTGCCGACTCCACAGAGTAAACATCACTGCCCAGAAGCCGAAACGGCATGAGACACTCCCTGGCCCAAAAAACTAGTCAAGAAATTGGCGAAAAAAAGGGAGAGGGAGATTTATGTCATCTCCAGCCAAACCACAGGAGCAACTGCTGAGAACCCTTGCGCTCTTACCGTTCAAGCCTCGACGAATATGCAACCAAACCTTACCACTGGTCAAACACCTGAGGTTCATCCCACTCAACAAGTTGTGGTTGAGCTAACTGTTGATCCGGTGGTCAAGGAACTTGTAGCACCAGGGCCGGCCATTACTTCTGTCTTGGAGGAATTGGTCACCTCGGCCGAGAAAAATCTCCCCCTGAATCTAAAAACAAAACCAGTGGTCATTCTGGAAGAAGAGGTATGATTATGTTGTTGGTAACTTTTCTTTAACTAGATTCCTAATGCTAACAACTCCTATTTCAGGGCGACGACAGCGAAAAAATCCTGCTTACGAGTCACCTTCGACCAACTAAACCTCCTACCACTAATCCTCCACTTGTGGTTGAGGCGACTGACCAGGTAGATCCTCCTGCAACTGATCGTGGAAAAATGCCTCTTGTCGAGCTTGAAGCGATAGAGGAAAAACCAATCCATTCGCATGATCAAGACTTTGGCATTCATCCTCAAGAAGTTACTGTGCTTTTGTAAGGCTCGATCTCTTTCTTTCGTTAATTTTACTATAACAAGGCTGAAACAAGAAAAATATTAAATGTCAGGTGCCCGATTATTCATTTCATTGAAAATTCTATGCGCCGAAAGGTGTTATCTATATTTTCCAGCCACCTAAGTGGCCGCCGAACGTAGATAACCTTCATCGGCCATGTGAATTGAGAAACAGTCTTAAACACTGGGCTCCGCCATTAAGCTCTCTAGGTTCGAGCAATGAACTAGGGAACATGGCTGAAGTTTTCTTTTGGCAGGTCTAAAACAAATTATCTCTGCTATATTCTTTAAAATTTTCCTTTTGCCTAAAATCTTTTCATGTGCAACCTTCATAGGAAGTCGAGCTCGACGCCCTTCTCTCGAATACTTCTAGAGTAGCCAGGTCATCTGCCGCGTCAGCCGAGCCTTCAATGTAAAGGCCTCGACTCAATAGGAGAGTGCTTGAACAATCTTGCAGCCGGTAGTTTGCTGAGCACTGAAAATGTCGTCCACCTATCTAATCTTTTAGAGCGGACCCGACAGTACTTTACTATTTTTGAATGGACTCTCTGGGCTAAGGACGACCTAAAGGTTGCGTAGATTGCTCATGAAGCCAGTCGTCTGGAGGTTGAGGCCATAAAAGCAAAGAAAACGCGGCTGGCCGACCTTGATCTTCAAATTGCCGAACTTCAACGTCAAATTGCCAAGCTTCAACTGCAAAGATCGACTGTTGCTACAGAACTCGAAAAGGATTTTGAAGTGAATAAGGCTTGACTGACGGACTTTGTGGCTGGCGTAAAGCAGATCCAGCAACTTCAGCTTAATAAAAGGACGAGGCAAGCCGAAGTCACTATGGGCGAAGTACGGTGGTTGGAACCGAAGGCTGTTCTTGAAGCCTTCCTTCCTTCGACTCTTTAGGAACTTGGCCTTAGGAATTTTTTGTATATTCACTTGTATGCCCTTTTGCAAAATTAATGAAATGATCTTTTATTCTTGCGTCTCCCAAGTGACTAGGTAGTATTTCTTTAAAAATTTCCCGTTGATTGGTAATTTATGAATTAAACCAGTCTGATCCTTAAGGTGGTATGCCCCATTGCCAATAACTTTGTGAACGATGAACAGTCTTTCCCAATTTGGCGACCATTTGCCAAACCTGGGGTCTTTAATCCCCGGGCAGCACAATTTGCCAAACCAACTCTCCCTCTTCGAATGTTTTTTGTGTGACTTGTTGATTATAAAGCTCGCTCGGCAATCTTTTTCTGTGCCACTAATAAATTCTCATGGCCTAACTGTACTCGGCAATGAACAAACTACTTTGTTTAATCACTCGCAACGATTTTATACTTAGCTCGACCGGTAACATCATGTCGTGTTCATAGGTTAACGCGTATGTAGTCGTTCTGATGTTTGATCGGAATGAAGTTCGATAAGCCCATAACGCTTCGTGTAACTTTAAATGCCACATACTGGACCTCTCTTTTACTATTTTTTCGAAAATACCGATCAAAACCTTATTAATTGCTTTGGCCTGTCCATTCGCCTGCGGGTAATACATCGTAGATTGCTGGAGTCAAATTTTTAGATTTGTCGTATACTCCTTAAACTTGCCGAATGTAAAGATCGTACCATTATCTGTTATGATTGTTTCTGGTACGCCGAATCTGGTTACGGTATTTTCTTCCACAAAATTACAAACCTCTTTAGACATTAACTCGGCAGATGACTTTGCTTCGACCCATTTGGTGAAGTAGTTTATTGCGACAAGTATCCATGCATGCTTAGCTAATCTGGAAGACGGCATAATTTTGTCGATTACGTTCATGGTCCATCCTCTAAACGACGAGGGTTTGGTGATCGAGTGAAGTAACTCAGCCGGGGCTTGTTGTATAGGCCTATGAATTTGACATTCTACAAATTGTTGTGCGTACTCGATACAATCTTTCAATATACTCGGCCATAAATAGTCGTGTCGTTGAAGCAGCCAACGCATCTTGCGCCCAGATTGATGAGCCCTGCAAATTCCTTCATGTACTTCTGCAATTACTTAGGCAGCCTCTCGTAGGCCGAGGCATAATAATAATAAACCATCCTCACCTTTCTGGTACAATTCCCTCTGATACAACACATAATTTGTGGCATAGACATTTGTCCTGTGGTTGTGTTTGTCATTGGGGTTATTAAGAGATCGCATGATTGACCTTCTCTAGTCGTCTGACATTGCCTTGAATACGTAGACCTCTATATGGTCATTCCGCTTCAACAACGAAGGTAAAAACATGACTTATGTATGGATCACACGATCTCGTTGGAGAACTTGCTGATTAACCAAGGGCGGGTATGCTCGTTGTAACATAGGTATTTCTCGGCCTAGTTTGCCCCCTAGGAGTTGTGCTCCGGAGGTTATTTGAGCTAATTCATCTGCGTCAGTGTTTCGAACTCATGACATGTGTTTGAAAGTAATATCGTTGAAAGACTCGGCCAAATAGCCGGCAACCATGTGATAGGGTGCTAGAGTGCAAGTCATACAACGTCCCATTAAGTTGGTTAATCACAAGTTCAAAATCACCAAGAATAAGGACACGAGTTGCCCGTAAATTATGTAGGACACCAAGGCCGATGATAAGGGCTTCATATTCGGCCTGATTATTCGTACAATCGAAATCGAGCTTGAGAGAAAAGTACCAACGGTTGTGATTTGGGGATTGAATAATGATCCCAACACCAGCCGAGACTAAAGTACTAGAGCCATCAAAGTACATCGTCTAGTAATTATCACGTGTTTTCACCATGCCGATTTCAATGTCATTGCCCCCAAAATCGTATGGTGAGGGATGTTGGGCCAAGAAATCAGCCAACGCTTGGCCTTTGACAGCTTTTTAGGGCACATATTGCAAACTGAATTTAGACAGTGCCATTGTCCACTTTTTGATTTAGCCTTTTACTATCAGCTGAGTGAGCATGTAACGAATGACATCGGTCTGGGCGATGACCTGAGTGATCAACGGGAGCATGTAATGCTTAAGTTTCGATGCAGCAAAAAATAAGGCTAGGCAAAGCTTCTCGACGGCGGAATAATTAATCTCCGGTGGGCTGAGATTTCTGCTAAGATAAAAAATGGCTTGTTCTCGCCCAACATCATTGTCTTGTGTAAGAAGGCATCCGATGGATTCTTCAGCTACTGAGATGTACAGCTTGAGAGGTCTGCCACGATGTGGTGGGACCAGGACGGGTGAAGTCGTGAAGGAGACCTTGATCTATGTAAATGCCTCTTGGTGTTCTGCATGTCATTTGAAGATGTTAGAATCCTTAAGTTTCAAGAGCGTGGAGAAGGCTTTCATTTTTCCTGCCGAATTGGCAATGAATTGACAGAGAAAGTTAATTTTGCTGAGCAACGATTGTAGTTATTTCTTAGTTGTCGGGGGTGGAGCGTTGATGATTGCTCGAGCCTTATTTTCATCTAACTTAATACCACGATGATGTACAAGGAATCCTAAAAAATTGCCAGCTGGTACGCCGAAAGCACATTTGGCGGGATTCATTTTAAGGTTGTGTTGGCTCATACATAAGAAAGTTTAGCGGAGATCATCCAGATATGTTTGCCGACATTCTGATTTGATTACAACATCGTGAATGTTGACTTCGACGGTGGTACCAATCAAATCATGGAATATAGTATTCATGGCCCGTTGGTATGTGGCACCGGTGTTCTTGAGGCCGAATGGCATGACGACCCATTTGTATGTGTCGAGTGCTCTGAGGTAACGAAAACCGGTCTTATGGACATCAGCCTCAGTGATGAAAATCTGGTTATAACCAACATGTCCATCCATAAAGGATAAGATCTTATGGTTTGCTGCCGCGTCGATTAACAAATCTGAAATTGGCATTGGATATTCATCTTTAGAAGTTGCTAGGTTCAAATTTCGAAAATCAACACAAATACGCAAGGCACCACTTTTCTTTTAAAATTGGGATGATGTTTGCCAACCATTCGACGTATCGAGCTGTTCGAATAGCTTTTAAAAGTCAAACGAGTTTGTCTTTTATGCCGATTTGTTCTTCGTCGTTGAGGTGGTTGGCGAAATGGTTTACACCCAGGTTTGATGCGTAATTCATGTTCAACTAGCGTTCGATCTAAACTAGGCATCTCATGGTAGCTCTAAGCAAAACAATCCTTAAAATCTTTGAGCAAATTACGAAGCTTGGTTTTTACATGTTGGGGGTAACAATCCTTAAATTCAAGAGCCTAAATGTAGAAAATCCCCATTGTGCCGCAGCAAGGAAGGAAGAAGGAGCCATCTGGAGCCGTGCTTGCCATTCAAGACGTTGGATTGTTGGAGCGTTTCTAGCTGTATTCTATCTTTGCTTTCAATGTTTAAATTTAATTATCTTTGTTTTGCAAACATGAGGAACTAAATTCATTTTAGTTAGAGGTGAATTCAAAACCATGAATACATATGTGATATGAATTGATTACATCCAATTATTGTTTCGTAAAACATGAATGTGATTTACTTATCTGTTTGATTGATAACTTATTCCTGTATTTTGATTAAGGAGGCCTACTTAGTTTGCATGTATGAATTTGATGCTAAAATATAAGGGAGTTTCACCTAATCGTTATGAACTTATATTTACAAGTAGTGGAGGTTGCTAGTCACAATCGTGTTAAGTAAATCCATGGCAAGAGTATCGTGCAGTTCATAGTTACGAATGCCTTGTCAATGCTTATGATTTTCATAGAACTTAATGATCTATGATATGGACCTCTATTATGCAGTTCATGTAGGGAACTATTGAAGAATAATTTGGTTGCCGATGCATTAGCCATCCAATTCAATGAACTTAGGAAAATTTGAAAATTAATTTGTGCAGTTCACAATTAATTTGGGGCATTGTCATTCATGGTTTAAAAAAAGAATAAATGGAAATCGATTTGTGTTGCATATGTGTCATGTTTGGATAAACAGCACTGTGAAGCCAACCGGCGACATCTTCAGTTTGGATAAACAGCACTGTTGCCGTAGAATCAACCGACCGCGGAGTACCTTTAGTTTGGATAAACAGCACTGCGTCAAGGGAGACTGGTTACCTATCCAAGTCTCGGTCGAGAAGGGTTTTCCAATCCTTGTTGGCAGAGGTCATCTAATTAACTTTCTTGGCGAAGTGAGGTGTTACAAGTTACTACATTCGGCGCATTGAAAGTTGAATTTGATATTGAACTTCACAGAACTAGCAGCCTTGTCTTCAGGCTCTAGAACCTGAAAGTTGAGACGTGTTCCATCCTCGGCCACAGTCGCAAGATTAAGAAGTCAGCAGGACGCCCAATGTCACATCAACATATTTTACTCCCCGACCGAACTAGGCAGACGAGTTGGTACACCCAGCATTAACCGAATGACGTAGTTAGCTCATTAGTTACTCGGCCTGCACACCATGTAGGATTGGTAGTTTTTAGGGTCAACATTTTGGCATGCCTGGTGAACCCATTGCTGAAGCTACGAAGTTCATGACCATTAAGACACGATTAGTAAAAAAGAAAATAGGGATGTGTGAATCGGCGACTAACCTTCCGCCTATGGTCCAAAGCCCAGATCATGATGGCCTGTCACAAGCATAGAATCCTCGCGCTGCCATCACACCCGAAGCCACGAGTGTGACATGTCGAGAAAAAGAAGTTAGTATTGGCGGACAAAATCGTGATGCGGAGATCACCACCAGAACGACAAAAGTAATTTTTGTCAAAGGAATAATCGAAGATTGCGATGAGGATAGTGGTGAAGGTTCTGATCCGCCGACTAGATCTTTTCTTCGGAGAAGACTCGAAGAGCAATCTCAGATTTTCAATCGAGAAGTAAGAGGCATACTTGAAGTAATACGCAGTAATGGTGAGGCACACAACAAAATGCTCGAACCATTGGTTAGTAGAGTTTATGACGGCAGACCCACCGATCGCTCCTGACAACTTCCACCTAAGGGTAATTTGGTATCAACGCTACAGGCCGAAACAGGATCTGCTCGGCTCAAAATGATAGATTTGGAAAAAAGAGGAGGATTAAGCAACAAATCAGACAAATCTGATCAAAGAGAAGAAAAAGCATCCGTCGATGTGATTGAGGTCCAAAGAATGATCAATTCGGCCTTGAAAAGGGGGCCGAAGTTCCCAAAGTTCATCCATCCATACCCAACTTATGTAGAGAAGTTTGAATATCCTAAAGGTTTCAAAATCCCTCCCTGTCTTCATTAGAACATGTGACTCGATTCATTGCGTAATGCAGAGATGTTAATAACGACTTCCATAAACTGTAACTATTCAACTTCTCATTAACAGGTTCGATATTTGCTTAGTACATCAATGTCCCGCCTAATTCCATCCAAAGTTGGGAGAAACTAGTCGAAAAATTCCATGAACAATTCTACTGGTCGAGGATGGAAATGTCAGTTTCATCACTGGCTAGGATGAGTCGCCAATGGAATACTTAACGAGGTTTAAGTCAACCAGAAATTGGTGCCGCATACCTCTCCCTGAAGTTGAATTCTTTAGAATCGCTTTGAACGACCTAGATATGGAATATAAAAAGAAATTCTTGGGGGCAAACTTCCGAGATATGTACGAACTGGCCTAGCACGTGGAGCAATATGATTATTTGCTCCAAGAAGAAAAGATCTCAAAGTCCACATCCCGGGGAACTATTTACAAGAATCCCATAGTTAGCTACGCATCGGCAGAAGGCGAGGATTCCTAATACACCATTGTGGACGCGGTCGAGATAGTGATAGATAAACCGTACGTATGCAAGTCTTTGGCTCAAATTAATTCCAAGGATGCTAAAACCCGCTTAGCTTCTGAAGAGACAAATAAAACATCGAAAGTTTACACTTTTGATATCACTAAGGCCGATGCAATTTTTGACCAGTTGTTACTGGCAAAGATCATCAAACTTCGACCAAGACATAACATTCCAAAGGCTAAAGAACTGAAAGGAAAAACATATTGGAAGTACCACAAACAATTGTGTTGTGTTCCGTGATTCTATTCAAAGCTAGATTGATAAAGAAGGCAAGCTAAAATTTCCTGAAAAACAGATGACTGTCAACGTTGATCTCTTCCCTTCAGCGATAGTTGGCATGGTAGATGCTCATTTGCCCAAGAACAAAGGGAAGGGGAAGGTCGAGTTCGTTCCAATACAACATGTTCCAAAGCAGAACTCTCGACCGCAACTCAAGATCAATATATTTTCAAACGAACCACCTACAGAGTTGTTGGGACCGGCCATAGTCAAATTTATGTCAAACTCCAGTATAGAAGAAACTGATGGACCGATGGTTTTGTGCAGCCATTGTAAAGCATGCGTCGTCATAATCGAAGCAAAGGAGAAACCACCTCAAGCTCCAACACCACGGCAACCATCCACGGCCGCGGTGACACCTTCAAAGGTACTCGGCGCAGGCCAGCGCCATAAGCTGTTTGATAGGCTCGGCCCTCAAATACAAACCGATGGCCCAATTTCAGCCAGACTACGTCTTGATTTTGATGTGCTGTTTTATAATGAGGACTATTACTCACATAACTTTAGCAGCTTGAGTTCATCGGTGAATCAAAAAACCTCCTGAGCCACGAGACCAACGTTGGTATAGTTACAATTCTCCCACCTGCATGTATACTGCATTATCCAAATCTCAGAAACATCGACGCTAACGGATAGAATGCATGGCTCGATGATAGGCAACACAGGCTACTTCGGCTACTAAATGGCAATTGAAAGAAGCCGTAGGAGGTGGAGATGACCGATAACCCCTGGCAATCATGGCCAAATTTCTTCAAGGGAAAAAGGTAATTGATCATGACTTTGAAACCACCATTGAAGAGTCCAAGAAGCGCATCAAACTCCTCTTTTGAGCATTTAAAAAAAAAAGCCGAAAACAAGCTTCCCTCACTACCCCCGCAAGAGCCATTAATAAGATTCTGACAGGATCTACATTCTTTATTTCTAGGAGAATCCTTAGAGTACATGCAAGAATTTCATAAGAAACATTCTGCCAATGACTTGTACGGCCTACCCAAAGCATGTCAAGAAGACCTTGACATGGCACTAACTTGCCCTAATGTTGAACAGATTATCCAAAAAACGACTGATCCAGCAATGAAGGCCAAGTTCTAGCACATACATGAAGCTTGGGTCCTCGGCTTCGAGGTCGACCCGTACACAAACATAGACACCGCCGAGCTCCCTTTTTCTCTTACAGACCTTCAATATTTATGACATCATTTCGAAGTCTTTTCATCTCTCTTCAGCCTTACGACCAATGAGAAAGATTGTGTGGCACATTTGGATGCCTACTTAGACACAAGGGACGCTCGAATTGCCTATGAAGAACAAGCCTGTAAAGCACTGCAGGGATAAAATCCAACCCCATCAATGAACAAGCTTGAGGACGACAACCAGAATGAAACAGGTTCAGTCGACATACCACGAGAGTAGGTACCCGATGAGGTGAAAGAAGATTAAGTTAAGGATACTCCAAAACATGATACTGCACTCGATAACCCAAAGGACGACGACCAAGACCCGATGGGCCCTTCAATCCTCGAAAATATGGAAATCAACATGGTCCATGTCTTACCTGCTGAATTTATTGGATGGGGACGTGGTTGCCGAGGAAGTAACACAAGTCGATTTCATCACCACCGAAGAAGATAGGCAAGCCAGTAAAGATGACAAACTTAAAGTAGCTCTGGCCGTCCTATTTCCTTGCTCTTCTTTGCTTAATCTTCAACATTTGAAGTCGTTGTATGTAACAGCTCACATTGAAAGTTATCCAATCTCCAAAATCTTCGTCGATTGTTGGACTACGGTCAATATCATGCCCGTATCCGTCATGAAGG